TGATTCAGTTCTCTATTACCGTCTTTTTGTTCTAGTCAAACCTTTAACAGACTGGATGTGTGTACCCTCATTGCACAACTACCTGACAGAGTAACCTCATGAATTAACCACTATCCATTGGTGGGGTAAAACCACCAGCAGCAGTGAGACTTAGAACTAGAAGCACCAACTGTGCTGAGGAAGTAGAGGGGAGAAGAAGGGGTTGCTGGTCATTTTAACTGCCAGGGAACCCAGAGATTTCCCACAAGTATTCACACTCAAAATGAGAAGTTCCCACTGGGAGTAAACAACTTCATAGGCATATTAAAGATCAACAATAAAACTGGGAGGGACAGGCTTCAGTTGGTAGGTGCCCTCAAGGAGACTAGAGGAGGCGTGAGACTTCTGGAGGGACATGGGCCCTCAGGCTCTCAGAAAATACCCAGGGAAGATCTATCTGGAAGCCACTCCCTATACATGAACTGCTAGGACCATGGACCTTAATTAATGGGCCTTTGAAGGAGAAAGAAAGCTAAGATACTAGCGTAGGAGGAGAGCAGATTAAGTAGATCTGAGTGCTGGGGATGTGGCTACACCCAAAGGCCATGTCTTTAATACTTCAATGTAAAACCAGAAGAGGGAGCCCCAGAGCCATGAAACAAGGAAATCTACTCTGGGCCTTCTACCCCTGACTTAATATGAGGTGCAGAAATGGATTGAGGTTGAGCTTCATGCAAACTTATTATGAGAAAAATGCAGTTAATCATTTTGAATAGTAAAGTTACAGAAAGTGGAGTCATACCAAAAAAATAGGGTCCCAAAGCAGACAACACTTTATTACTATTTCAACAGAACCTAAAGGAAATTTTTTAAAAATGATAGAAACTATGAAAGAACTGTGTATACCATGATTAGGAAATTTAAAAATGAGAGGACATCACGAAAAGAGAGTCAGCCAAAAGGAATGGACGGGGGGACCCATGAAGTGAAGGAGATGTTTAAAAAATACATCTTTTAAAAAATAAATTTTAAAATGGGCAAAACCAAACGATAGTGTCAGGGAATATACATTGGGTGGTCAAACTATAAGGAAACGAAAGGAAGCAATTATTGTAAAATCAGGTTAATGGTTACCTTTGAGTGAAGGAAGAGTTTAAGATTGGGATGGAGCATACGGGGGAGTTCTATGGAGCTGGCTAAGTTCCATTTCTTGAATGAGAGGATGGTTACATGAGTAGTTGGCTTATAATTCACTAAGCTAAACGTTTGTTTGGTTTATTTTTTTCTAATTGCATCAGTTTGTAATACTTTTGGCTGCAAATAACAGAGAAACCTGGCAATACCAGCTTAAACAAATAGCTGTTTATCTTGGCTAATAGTCCTGAGCTGGTGCCCAGGCTCCTACTACAATCAGGCATCCAGATGCTCAATGCACAGTGCTACTCTATCCTGAGTGGAGAGGCCAGGGATGCTGTTAAATGTCCCACAGTGCACAAGGCAGCCCCCCACAACAAAGAATGTTCTAGTGTAAAATGTCAATGGAACCAAAGTTGAGGAAGTCCAAACCCCTTAAGATCAACACTGATCTCTATCTATCTATCTATCTATCTATCTATCTATCTATCTATCTATCTATCTATCTATCATCTATCATCTATCTATAAAAGGCTAATATGCAAAGTGTCTCCTGGGGAGTTCAACTGGGAGACTGGGAGTTTGATCATTCACTATGTTGTGTGCTGACCACCAGGGGGCGGCGTGGAATGAAGGAAGGCCCCAGCAGGCAGCTAGAAGGCACTGATCGACCCTAATCACAGGCCAGGCCTAGGGACCCTACCCATGCAAGAATTTCATGCACCAGGCCTCTAATAATAATAGTAATACATTTTTAGTCATGTTAACTTTCATTCTTTAATAAGTATACAGTGAATTGGGGTTTTCCTGAGGCTGTATAACGTGTGATATTGACTATCTTTCGATCCAATGCAGAAACAGAGATAAGAACCATCTGCCTTACATTAATCAAGATTTTAAAAGGTGTGAAAAAATATAAAACAATGGCTCTCTTCTCACTATTTTTTTTTTTGCTTTGGAAAATATACTTTCTATTAAAATATGTAATCATATAATAGGTTTATTATTAGCAGTAATTTTGAATGAATACATTTTTTTCTGCTTTTGGGACCTCAGTGACTTTTTAGAGTGTGAAGCTGTCCTAAAGCCAAAAGCTTGAGAACTGCTGGTCTGAAGACTGATTTTTAAAAATATATATATTTTATTGATTTTTTACAGAGAGGAAGGAAGAGAGATAGAGAGCTAGAAATGTCGAGAGAGAAACATCGACCAGCTGCCTCTTGCACACTCCCTATCGGGGATGTGCCTGCAACCAAGGTACATGCCCTTGACCGGAATCGAACCCGGGACCTTTCAGTCCGCAGACCGACGCTCTACCACTGAGCCAAACTGGTTTTGGCTGGAGACTGATTTTTAAACACTTAAAAAACATGGAGACTATGAGAAGTGTAATTAGTCTGTCCTAAACAAAGACTTATTTTAAAAACCATCATTACCTCCTTCTCTTGCTCTTTGACCCTGTGCTGGGCTCTGGGAGCACAGTGGTCAATAACATAGGGTTTCTGCCCAATGGTAGAACTGAATCATACTCATTCTGATTATGTATTTTTTAAAATATATTTTTATTGATTTCAGAGAGGAAGGGAGAGGGAAAGAGAGGAACATCAATGATAAGAGCGAATCATAGATTGCTTGCCTCCTGCATAACCCTTACTGGGGATCGAACCCATAACCCAGGCATGTGAATCAATCCCTGACCTCCTGGTTCATAGGTCAACGCACAACCACTGAGTTAGGTTGGCCGGGCAATTGTGATTATGTATTTTAAAGTTCTGTGATAGAGGTTGTTTCAAAGTGTGATGGGATTCCAGAGGAAAGAGCAGTGTTTCAGTGCGGTGTTATGATAACCGAGCATCATTGCACAACTCATCCTGATTAGGAAGCTTGCCATTCTCACTTCTTCCAGAGACAGACAACGCACCTGTGACTCCAAACTTCCCTGTCCCACCGAACATAAGAATTGCTTCTATAGCCGAAACTGGTTTGGCTCAGTAGATAGAGCGTCGGCTTGTGGACTGAAAGATCCCAGGTTCGATTCCGGTCAAGGGCACATCCCCAGTAGGGGGTGTGCAGGAGGCAGCTGATCTATGATTCTCTCTCATCAATGTTTCTAACTCTCTATCCCTCTCTCTTCCTCTCTGTAAAAAATCAATAAAATATATATTTTTTAAAAAGAATTGCTTTTATAAACTTGTCATTGATGGCTTAAGGTTAGAGGCAGAAGCTAACAGATGTGCTTTTGCTCACTTTTTAGTGACTGTGCTGGCGATATTTAACGAGTTACATGCCGATGTGGACCTCTATGCACTTCTGTTTGGAGAAAGCGTCCTCAATGATGCCGTTGCCATCGTGCTGTCCTCGTAAGTAATGCTGTGTCTACCCGGGGAAGAGATTGGCTTCCTGAATGCTCAGAGGCCTGTCTTCAAAGTGTTCGATGATTGAATTGGGTGTTTTTCTAAAGGAGGGTTCTCAGCTTCATTGATAATGTCATATCGCTTTGTCCAGTCGTCAGCAATCAGAGTGCTGTACCCGTGGAGCATGGTGACTGCAGACTAAGTTCAATGAAGACACCATAGGGAGTGCCTGGCGGACTGTTGCTACCTATGTTTGTTGATGTTTGAGGTACCATGGTGTAAAGCCAGCTCTTTGAAAACTTTGTCTTCTTTTCAAACTCCAGGTCTATTGTCGCCTACCAGCCAGCAGGGCTGAATACTCACGCCTTTGATGCTGCTGCCTTTTTTAAGTCGGTTGGCATTTTTCTAGGTATATTTAGTGGCTCTTTTACCATGGGAGCTGTGACTGGCGTTGTGACTGCTCTAATATCCTTTTTTGTACTTTCTGCCCCTGCCTGGGTATGATTGTGTGATATACAACACTTGCAAAAAGAAAGTTGTCAGTTCCTCCTTCCAGAAATGAATCTTAAATCTATTGTTCCGATGGGGTTTGGGGGCTCCTGAAATGTCACTGGTAAAACATGACAGTTGGGCCGAGCTGGCATGGCTCAGTGGTTGAGCGTTGACCCATGAACCAGGAAGTCATGGTTCAATTCCCAGTAAGGGCACATGCCTGGGTTGTGGGCCTGATTCCCAGTAGGAGGCATGCAGAAGGCAGCTGATCAATGATTCTCTCTCATCATTGATGTTTCTAACAATCTTCTCCCTCTTCTTTCCTCTCTGTGAAATCAATAAGAACATATGACAGTTGAGTGCCTAGCTAAGGGCACGAGGAAATGTTTGTGGTGTAACTCTAGGCTTAGCTCTGTCTTGCAGAGGTCAAGGTCTTGTAGCCTCATCTTCCCAAGCCATCCCTAGGCATTCCCACCACTGTCAGATCTAACCTGACAGACACCTCAGGCCATGACTGTGCCTTTCAGAACCATAGGCATTGCGAGGGGCACAGAAGACAAATTTCCGGTTTCTTTAGCTTAATTTCAAAACAAAAACCGCTTTCCTGAGATAAAATTCACACTGTGCAATTCACCCTTTTAAGCGTACAACTCGATGGTGTTTGGGATTTGACATTACTCATTTTTAAAAAACTGTGGTCAAATGTATATAACATAAAATGTGCCCTTATAACCACGTTAAGTGTACATTTCAGTGGCATTAAGTACAACCACAGTGTTGGGTAACCCTCCCCAGTATCTACTTCCAGAACTTTGTCATCATTCCCAACAGAAATTGTGTACCCCTTAAGCAACATCCTCCTCCTTTCCCAGCCCTTGGTAATCTCTCTTCTACTGGAAAGCTTGATTTCTATTCCTTTAAAAAGCAAGCAGCCCCTGTGGGACCCCAAAAGAAGAGCGGAAGGGAAAGGGCAGCCCTTAGGAAGAGCACCCTGGGCTAATAGGATGTGGTTCTTGGTGACACTGGTACTTGTTTCCGGTGATGCGTTCCTTGACGCGGGCTGACGTGACCAAGTTCACCAAGCTGCACTGCTTCCCCCTGCTGGAGACAGCACTGTTCTTCCTGATGTCCTGGAGCACCTTCCTCCTGGCAGAGGCCTGCGGGTTTACAGGTGGGTGTTCTCTCCCCTCGGGCCACCATTCCCCTCGCTGTGTCTGGGAGCTTGACAGAAGGGAAGAATTCTTTTTTTTTTCTTAAATAAATCTTTATTGTTCAGATTATTAAAATTGTTTCTTCCCCTCCCCATAGTTCCCCTCCACTTGGTCCCCATTCCACCCTCTGTCCTTACCTCCCCCCGCCACCCTCACTGTCCTCATCCATAGGTATATGATTTATGTCCAGTCTCTTCCTGAACCCCCCACACAGATACCCCTTTCCCCCTGAGAATTATCAATCCCCTCCCATTCTATGTCCCTGAGTCTATTCTATTCACCGGTTTATTCTGTTCCTCAGATTTTTAATCCACTTGACTTTCAGATTCACTTGTTGATAGATATGTATTTGTTCCTTTGCTTTTTAAAAAAATTTAAATAACACCTCTCGTGCTAGGTGTTGTGGCTGTCCTTTTCTGTGGAATCACACAAGCCCATTATACCTACAACAATCTGTCGGTGGAATCCAGAAGTCGGACGAAGCAGGTGAGCCAGAGCCCTGGGACCTCATCAGTTCCCTGTGACTATAAGGGGAGAGGATCCGAGGGTTTCATGCTTCCTTTCCCTCTCCCTGCAGCTCTTTGAGGTGTTACACTTCTTGGCAGAGAATTTCATCTTCTCCTACATGGGCCTGGCGCTGTTCACCTTCCAGAAGCACGTTTTCAGCCCCATTTTCATCATTGGAGCTTTTGTATCCTTTCCCCCCGCCCCCCGGATACACTATTTTCTAGACAGAGAGACGTCACCATTGCTGAGGAAGCTGTAGTAATAATTTCTGTGTAGGGTGGGTGGCGGAGCCAGTGTGAGTTCATGGTATTTTTATGATGAGAGAAAAGAAAGCTTATGAGGTTCATAAAACTGAATGTTTGATCCAACGGACTGGCATGGGTTTCTGCATTCTCTGTGTAAGATGGCCTTTCTGGTACACTGGTGCTTAGCAGGAACTAGTTTGTTTTGTAAAGAGCCCTTGTTAGTGGACCTAACAGTAGGCTGTCCCCAGAACTATCTTTATGTCTTTGCCCAGTGAATTCCGATCTGGGAAGTTCCCCATTTGGAAAACCTGAAGGTTGTTGCTCTTGACTGCACACCGGTATGGCAGCTCAGGGAAGCTTGAAGGCAATAAGCACGCTTTTACCCAAGTTTAACATATCATCGTGGAAAAGACTTTTTTTCTCCAGAAAGAGAAAAGGGAGAGGAAGGAAAAATCAAATGGGAAAACACTGGGTTCCTTGAGTTCGTCCTACTGGGAGTGCGGTTGTTTTGGAAGAGAGAGACAGTTTTGAGAGGTAGCTTCTCTCAAGTGAGGAGAGATGTGACTACCCAGCAGTAGATCAACAGCTGAGGACTTTTCTCGCTTGGCCTCAGACCCTGTTGTTTTGATTCAAATGAACTTTTCTGAGGTTGGAACGGTAGCAATCCAGCTCAGCCTGGACTTTTCAATCCTGAGCAGGAGTTCTCTATCGCTGGGCATTCGCTTTTGCTTTTTCCATGATCTCATGGATATCCTTAGGTCTTGGGATGCTGTAAAAAAAAAAAAAAAAAGCCTTTTTCCCCCCCATCTCAGTTTTTATTTCTGGTGCAGGAATAAGTGATACTCAGCAAGCAGCTAGATGGCGGTGGTGGTCTAATGCAGTGGCTGGCAAACTCATTAGTCAACAGAACCAAATATCAACAGTACAATGATTGAAATTTCTTTTGAGAGTCAGATTTTTTAAACTTCAACTCTATAGGTAGGTACATTGTTATTAACTTAATTAGGGTTCTCCTCAGCTGGCCTTTGCTAAAAACTCAAGGGGCCAAAGAGCCACAGTTTGCCGACCATTGGTCTAATGCCACACCAGAATCCTTGCACTCAGAGTGTTATCTGCTTCCATTGGGGTTCATTTCTTGGATTGACTGTCAAAAAACTAACAGCTAGTCCAGCCTGTGTGGCTCAGTGGTTGAGCATTGACCCATGAATCAGGAGGACCCAGTTTGATTCCCCATCAGGGCACATGCCCAGGTTGCGGGATTGATCCCTAGTAGGGGGCATGCAGGAGGCAGCCAATCAATGATTCTCTCTCACCATTGATGTTTCTATCTCTCTCCCTGTCTTCCTTCCTCTCTGAAATCAGTAAGAATATTTTTAAAAAATTCAACAACTAGAAGACTGAGGGATCAGTGTTGTTTTTCTTGATGAGGAAAGACCTTGCATGCCATTTTGATTTGTATTCCTAGCACGGCATCCTGTGAGAGATAGTGTGAGCCCAGCCCTTGTTTACAGATGAGGACCCTGGAGGAGGGCCAGCCAGGTCCTTTGTGAATCCTGAAGGCTGCTTACCATGGAGGACTTCTGCATGGCTTCTGGAGTAGAATAGGCTTTATAAGCTTGACTTGTTTCCCTTTTGTTAAAAACAAAACACAAAAGAAAGATAAAAGAAGAAAATTTTTAGTCAGCGCTTTACCCTGGGGAAGGCAGAAGATAGCTCTGCCCTTGCTTGTGTCTGATACAGCTGCAGCTGTGGCAGCTGGTGCTTTGCCGAAACGGAAGCTCCCTGTTCCTCTGGCTCCCACGGTGCTTTCCTTCTGTGATGGGGGCTGTGTGCACTCTCTGTGGAGCTCTCTGTTGGGCTCTGTTCTAAATTCAGCAAGTGACGAATGACTGGTTTCCCTGAATTCTTCGGTTTCCACAGTACAGTTCCTCTTCCACACTTCGTTTTCCACTTCTCATATCTCTGAAAGACATTTTAGCCACCGAAGTGGAAGAGTCTTCCCAGGTTGATTCTTGTGAGGAACATGAATGTGTCTTAGTATGTGGGGTTTTCTGTTGTTCTTTTGGTAATCCTCATCCGAGGATATTTTTTCCTTTGATTTTTAGAGAGTAGAAGGGACAGAGGGAAACATCGAAGTGAGAGAGACACATGGATTGGTTGCCTCCTGCACGTGTCCTAAACCCAATTGGGGCCAGGAATCGAGCCCTTGACTGGAATCGAACCTGAGATCTTTCAGTCTGTGGGCTGACACTCTAACCACGGGAGCAACCAGCTAGAGCTGTCTTAGGATTATGAATACTTCAAGTTTCCCCACTCCTTGTCAGTAGATCTTCCGGGTCATTCAGGGCCCTGGTGTTTACTTCCAACCACAGTTTATGAGCTTACCCAGCAAACTTTGTCTTCATAGTTTGACTCAGAGATTAGCAATTCTTTCTTCTTGTGGTTTTTCTTCCCAAAGACCCCAACACACTGCCTCTCTCAGCTCCCCACCCCTTCCATGGGACCTTAGCTTATTTCTGGACTCATTTTAAGATAGACTGTATTGATCATAGCAGCATAATTAAACCAGGAATTTACAATGGTGTATTTAATGTGCTAGGAATGACCTCAGTGGGACAGAAGGTTGGGAAAGTTGGTCAATTGAATATAACTTGTTTTTGACACTTGTTTGAGGGAAAGTAGACAGTCTGGCTTCTTTGTGCAATTCTCCTGAACATAATGAGATGTCATGGTATTCCTGACATTCTCTGTTCAACCAGAGGTTGTGATGGTGGCATTCTGGAAACCTGTTGAAACCTTAACCTCCACCTGGTGCTCAGGTTGCCATCTTTCTGGGCAGAGCTGCACATATCTACCCACTCTCCTTCTTTCTCAACTTGGGCAGAAGACATAAGATTGGCTGGAATTTTCAACACATGATGATGTTCTCAGGTAAGACAGTATAAAAGTAAAGAAAATGGGTGTTACAAAGCAGGCAGCATTAAAGTATTGACAAGGTTCATGAAAAGAGAAAAATTAAAGTTTCTGGGTCTTTTGTATTCCCTGGGGTTCTGAGTAGACAGATGTACATGGTAAGCTGACTTAATATTTATGTTGCAAATTCTACCACCAAATGTTAACATTATCCCCTAAAATATTTGCATCTTTATTTCGTCTCTATCACCCAAAGGGCAATATTGAAAGTGCTTAATTGTTCTCTAGTGGCTTGTTCATAACCCTTAATCTGCAAGAAGGGCTCCAGATCTAAAATTATAAATAAAATGGGTGTTTAATGAGAAAGAATGTGGGCCGTGTCACTCAACATCTCCACCCCAGTTGCAGTATCCTCTCTTGTAAAATAATGAAATTGAAGGTCCTCCTAACTATGACTTTCTATGGAGCAAAAGAAATAAAATACACTCTTAAGAAAGATGAACCTCAAACTGGAAAACAACAGCTCATTCACACTGTCTCCCAGATACCCACCTCGCTTCACTATAAAGCTAGGAAATATGGAGAAGCCACTGAGAAGATAAAGGACAATGAGGAACTATGTGACCATAAAGAAAGGAGAGAACAATTGACATGAGTAGATGGTAGTAAACGTCAGAGTTGATAAATGAGACCCAAGTTAGAGCATTTCTGCAGAGCACAGGAAGGAAATGGTAGCACAAACGGCTACATAACCCTGCGTGGGGGGTAGGGGTGGGCTGTACAGGAGGCAAAGTGAGTAGCTGCCCTTTAACACCATGCAGTGGCTCTTGGGGGCCTCAGAGAGTCATACTGAAACCACACCAACTAGCCCTGTTCAGCAAAGCAGTCACTGTCTAGGATTCATTTGCATCTGCCCTTAAAGGTACAGCCTGCGATCATGATTTCCTCTCACTCTGACAAACAGTTACTGAGCGTTCTCTTTTTATCTATAAGCCACAGTTTTAGGTTGTGGAGGATACAGAAACCAGCCTCCTGCAAGGAGCTCACAGTCTACTGGGGGTGGGTGGAGACACGTGTACAATGTGATTTCTCTGAAGAGAAATGGGTGAACTGCACTAAAGAGGTATGGAATAAATGAGGAGAGTCGGGGCCAGGGCCATCTTCACAAAGGGGTAACCTTTGAACTGAGCTTGGAAGAAATGGATTTCAGGAGGCAGCAGGTTGGAAAGGCAAGAAATGTAAGACACATGGGGTAATGCAGAATGGAGGTGAGGTTGAGAAGGAAAATTACATGTAAAGTGGTATGAACCTTTAGATTGCGTTGGATCACCTGTTGGATTGGTTAAAGCAGAGGGTACAGGGCTGCCTCAAGAATTTAAATTCCTACCATGCTATCTGCTGCTGCTGGTTGGAGGACCACTCTTGGAGGACCATGGAGGAGCTTCAATGCTGTGCCACTTTGGGTTTATTTAGGGTCTGGGAAACAGGTTTCTGAGGAGGACAGTGACAAGATACTCCTCACATGTTAGGAAGGTGGTGGTAGAAAGAGAAAGTGAACTGGACATAACTCAGTTACCTAGCTAAACTTAAAACAGGTTCTTCCCCTTCTGTACTAAAAGTCTGAGAAGTACATGGCGCTGTTTAAAGATATCTCCTGTCAAAATTAGTTTCTGCTGGGAGGGCTCACTCTTTGAGGCCATAACCTACCTGAGGTTTCACTTTCATATCGCTTATAATGTTCACCTAATAAAAGTAAGAAAAATACAGCACATGTTGTCTCTTTCTGATCCTCTGAGTTTTCTTCTTTGAGATAACATCTCTTTAGAGGCTTAAATACTGATCGATTGATCAATGACATAACTGACTTGTAGGGCAATGTAGATCTGTATAAATATTTCACTACCACGGGTTAATAGAAAATATTAACCTTGCTCAGTTTTTTAGATAACTTTTAAGGAGTCACTCTTTTTTTTTTTTTTTTTTTTTTTTGTAAATTGTAGTGAAGTTCTCAGATTAATTGTGAAATGATTGAAAAAGTGGGAAGATCTATAAACAGATACAGTGGGCATAACTTTCATTCTCATAGACACACAATCTTGCTCATGGTGAATAGGAATTTAGACCAAATACTGTATGTGTTAAAGACCATGGATTCAGTCTTAACTATAGAACAAATTATGAGCATGGTATGGGGAAGGAACAAAAGAACTCAGAAAGATAAACATGAAAATGTTGGTGCTTAGCCAAATCTGTGTGTGCCTGTGTTCATATACCCAGAGGGCTCGGAATGGCTTTCACAGGTGAATGCTTATAACTTGAACCCCAAATAACCACCCCAAAGAATTCCTTTCTTTTCAGTAGTAGACCTGTATTAGAATGAATTGTACTCATTATTATTATTATATTCTTAATTTTTGTCAATCAAATTTTGTGAAAATTTGTTTTCTCTCTTTTATAGAAGGACCTCCATGACAGCCTTAATTTTTTCCTTGTGATCTTCAAAGCATAAAATATTTGTCACCTTTTGCAGAACAAGTTCCCAACCCCTGATGTAGATCAGGTTATATGGTTACTTCTCTGTGTGGCCTTGCTAGGGAAATGCTGAGCTGTTTTGTGGTTCATAGTACATGAACCACAAGTACACATTTGACATAGTCATATCTAGCATGTTTCTGATGCTTATAACTGTAATGCATTGGTCATGCTTGGATCGCAGACTTGGAAAGCTTAAATTATTTCTTACATTTCTTTTGATTTTATATGACTAGCAGGAGAATTATTTCAGCAATGCAAGAGTTTATTCTAAAATGTGCTGTGCACACTACTGCAATATTTCTTTTAAATATGTTTTTATTGATTTGAGAGAGAAGAGGGGAAAGAGGAGAGAGAGAGAAACATCAGTGATGAGAGAGAATCATTGACTGGCTGCCTTGCTCCCTACCAGGATTGAGCCCACAACCTAGGCCTGTGCTCTGACTGGAAATCAAACTGTGACCTCCTGGTTCATGGGTTGATGCTCAACCATTGAGCCACACCAGCCGGGCTAGTGCAGTGTTTTTATCATTGCATTTGGACATTTTGCAAAAGAAAACTTCTAATAGGAGAAAATGATATTCCTTTAAGATTCTTCTTTCTGAATAAAACAGCTTGGCTCCGGAAATACGAGTTTATGAGCCCCAAGAGGCAGCAGTGGATTTGAGGTCACGCTGTCATGTGTCCTTATAACCAGGAGATCTTCCTCTTTGGTCCCTGCAGGCCTCAGGGGAGCAATGGCGTTTGCACTGGCCATCCGAGACACGGCATCCTATGCTCGCCAGATGATGTTCACGACCACCCTCCTCATTGTCTTCTTCACCGTCTGGATCGTTGGTGGAGGCACAACACCCATGCTGTCCTGGCTTAATATAAGGTTGGTTTGAAACCGAGGCCGGTTTTGTGTCTGCACCACTCTGGGCACGCAGGATGTGCTTTAGCTCAGCGCCTGGAAGGTTTCTACAGGTGTTTTTGTTGTTGTTGTTGTTCTTGAGAGAGATTAAAATGGAAAAACCATAAAAATTCAGAGTATTAAATGTTCCAGGAGAAAAAAAAATGTTGTCATTAAAAATTTTGTTGGTGTAAAAACACAAGGAATGAGAAACACCGGGACCTTCTAGAGCAGCAAGAGTCCAAAAAGTCTTAAAGTGGCAGGAGAGAGAATAGGCATTTCACAATTAAGTTTTGATGTTCACAATTAGAGTTTTGTTTTGGGAGGTAACTGCCGTACCTCCTTTTGCTTGAGTGCACAAAAGAGGTGATAGATAGTCCCTGCAGACCCCTCCTCTGTGGCAGCCTCATGGACGTCGCCTGCCTGTGGATTTGCTGCTGTGTCAGGACGAAGGGGCGCTGGCCTGAGTTTGCTTTTTTAAAAGAGCATGTAAACGCCAAACTTGGCTGCTGAGCTCTGACACCCTGGTCATGAGGACATAGGAACAGGGAATAAGGGACCTGCAGCCCCTCTCTGGCTCTGGTTTAATGCAAGTCCCTCATGTCTTTGGATCTGAGTTTCTCTCAACAGTAAATCAAAGCGCATTGTCACATTTCCCCCAGGGAGCCTTCAGCTCCAAGCGAGCACTCTCCATCATTGGAGGAGCTCTCGTCACCTGCCTCAGTTTTGGGTCTGTGGAGGGTGACACGTGGATGGTACAGAGGCGTGAAGAACGCGCTGCAAAGCCACAAGGCGGCAATGCTTTTTCCATTCTCTGCTGGCTTTCAGTTTGTGTTTCCTTCTCTAGAATGTAGAGTACATGGGACTGACAGCTGCCAAGCATGCCCGGCTCAGAGGAAAGGAAAGGACCTCGCAGTCATCCTTGGAGTTAGGGAGAAGACGGAATTTGAGAGAAAAATCTTCCCCTTTGGGGCCTTTCTTAGTGATGGCAGGCAGGGGTCTGGCCACTGCCAGTTCTACTACCATTTGGGGACTGGCAAGTCTCAGCCTCAGAGCTGCAGTGGATCTGCAGAATCTCTGTGGGGCTTATCAGTGATAGTCCCTTAATAGCTAAAACGTGCTGCTGGTGGTGTTTAAGATGCCACATGCATATTAAGGTAATTCTCATAACATTCCTATGAGGCAGCTACCACTACTGTCTTCATTTTAGAGTTGAGAATGCCAGGGCACAGAGCAATAACTTGCCCAATGTCACAAAGCTCAAAGTGGACGAGTTGGGATATGAATCCAGGCCACAGAGTCCACACTCTTAACTATTATACTATAAGTGCTGTGACTGCCTGCAAGAAGGCTTGCTGTGTTAGGGTCTTTTTTTATGTTGTAAAATTTGGATTATTAGAATTTCCGTTTCTTGGCATGAATCTTAAGGAAAACAGTTCATCTGTGGTAATATAAATCCAGAGAAGAAAATCTACAGATTCTTGGCTTGAAACTTGAGATATCTTTGTTCTTGTAGCAGATTAAGAACCGGGAAGGAGGTTTATCCTACACACAGTTGGGGATCTTTGCATTCAGTGATCTCTGAGATAACTTCCTGCTCCTATTCGGTCACCCAGTAGTTACCCTGGAAGCTCAGAGACTGACTGAATTTTTAATGCTATTTTATAAGTCCCTTTTTGCCTCCTCCAACATATACAGGATCAAATAATAGAGAGTTGACTTGTGACATTTTGCACTTCTCATAACCCTGTTCAAGAAATGGGACATGAGCCCTGACTGGTTTGGCTCAGTGGATAGAGCATTGGCCTGCAGACTGAAGGGTCTCAGGTTCAGTTCCGGTCAAGGGCATGTACCTTGGTTTGCAGGCACATCCCCAGTAGGGGTTTGCAGGAGGCAGCTGATTGATGTTTCTTTCTCATAGATGTTTCTAATTCTCTATCCCTCTCCCTTCCTCTATGTGAAAAAGCAATAAAATATATTTTTTAAAAAAAGAAAGAAATGGGACATGAAAACAGCCCTACCCAGAGCTGAGAGCATGGGCAACTTTCACTGAGGCATTCAAGCAGTAAATGTATTAATATAATTAATAATTGGATTGCACTCAGAACATAGCACTAGCACATAGCAACGGGTCAGAGATGACTATGTGCATGAGAGATCATTTCCCTACATCCTTGCCAGCATTTGGTGTTATCACAATTTTTTCAATTCAGCTGTTCTAATAGGCATGTGGGGTACGTTATTGTGGTCTTAATTTGCATTTCTCTCGTGGCTAATAACGTTGAACATCTCTTCGTGTGCTTATTTGTCATTCATACATCTTTTATGGTAAAATATCTGTTTAAATATTTTATTTATTCTAGACACTACTCTAGATGTGTAGTTTGCAAACATTTTCTCCGAGGTTATAGCTTGTCTTTTCATCCTTTTAGAAGTGTCTGCCATAGAGAGGAAGTTAATTTTGAAGGAGACACTTTGTCATTTTTTTCTTTTATGGATTGTGCCCTTGTTGTCATGTCTACGGATTCTTAATCAAGTCCCAGATCTCTGAGATTTCTTTCTGTATTATCTTCTAAACGTGTTTTGCTTTTGCTCTTTACATTTAAGTCTGTGATCCATTTTGACTTAATCTATAATAATAAAACTGTCATATGCTAATTAGACCTGACGTGCTTCCAGATGACCTTCTGGATGAAGCTGCAACAGAGGGGGCCAAGGCAGAGGTGCCATGGCAGCGGGCAGGGGCCAAGGTAGAGGCAGCAGAGGGGGTCGAGGCAGAGGCAGCCACAGCGGCAGCAGGGGCTGAGCCCCTTGCACGAATTTCATGCATCAGGCCTCTAGTTTTTATATAAGATGTGAGGTTTAGATCGAGGTTTTATTTTATCTGATTATTGCTATCCAGTTGTCAGCACACTTAAAAAAACAACAACTATCCTTACTCCATTAGATTATTATTGATCTTTTGCCAAACATCAGTTGACTGCATGCATGTGGGTCTGTTTCTTTTCTGCTCCATTGACTCATGTGTCTATCTCTCCATATGTACCACACTATCCTGATAACTATAGTTATACTAGAGGCCTGGTGTACGAATTCATGCTCCAGTGGGGTCCCTCGGCCTGGCCTGAGCCATCTCGCAGTCCAGGACCCCTTGGGGGATGTTGGAGAGCCAGTTTTGGCCTGATCCCCGTAGGCCAGGCCAAGGGACCCTGCACTGGGCCTCTAGTATGCATATAGGATCTTTGGTTAATCTCTTCCAACCCTCCCCCTTCCCCCTTTCCCTTTGAGATTCATTAGTCTGTTCCATGTTTCCATGCCTATGGTTTCCACTCCTGCATTGAGCATCTGCCCCCTTGTGGTCAGTGTGCATCATAGCTACTGGCTGGTTGGCTGGTTGCTTAGGCATATATATATATATATATATATATATATATATATATATATATATATATAAAGACTTAGCATCTGGTAGAGTGAGTTCTTCCACTTTATTATTTTTTAAACAATCATAGCTATTCTAGTTCCTTTCCATATACATTTTAGAATAAGCTTGTCTATATCTTTTTAAAAATCTTGCTGGGATTTGGATAGGAATTGTGTTAAACCTGTATATCAGTTTGGGAAGAATTGACACCTTTACTCTGTTGAGTCTTTGAATCTATGATCATGGTATTTTTCTCTATTTATTTAGATTTTCTCTTATTTCTTTCATAAGTATTTTATAGTTTTCAGTATACAATGCCTGCACATGTTTTGTTAAATTTACATCTAATTATTTCTTCTTTTTGAGCAATTGTAAAGATTATTCAACCTTATTTTCACTTTCCATGTGTTCATTGCAAAGATATAGAAACACATTTGGTTTTTGTGTGTTGATCTGCTGTCCAGTGACCTTGCCAAGCTTACATATTAGTCCTAGAAGGGTTTTGTTTTGTTTTGTTTTGGGGTGTTTTTTTTTGTTTTTTTTTTTTGTTTGTTTGTTTGTTTGTTTTGTAGAGTCTTTGAGATTTTCTATGTAGGCGATTGTGTCATTTGCAGATAGAGATGGCTTTATTTCTCTTTCCCAACCAGTGTTCTTTTTATTTTCTTTCATTGATTTTTTTTTTAATCTGGCTAGGACATTCAGTGCTATGTTGAATAAGAATGATATGAGTGGACATCCTTGCCTTGTTCCTGATCTTAAGGGGAATACATTCTGTCTTTCACCAATAAGTATGATGTTATTTGTAGGGGTTTTTTAAGATGTTCGTCATCAAGTTGAGGAAGTTTATATCTATTGCTAGTTTTCTGAGATTTTAAAAATCACACACAGATGTTGAATTTTATCAAGTGCTTTTTCTGCGTAAATTGATATGATCATATTTTTTTCTTGATTAGCCTGTTAATATGGTGGGTTACATTGATTAATTTTCAAATATCAAACTAGCCCCACTTCTCTAAAGTAAATCCCACTTGGTTGTGGTGTATTTGTCTTGCTAGAAGTTGGTCGATTTTTTTTTTTATCTTTTCAAAGAACTAGCTTTTTATTTCATTGATTTACTGTATTGTTTTGGTTTTCAATTTCATTGACTTTTGCTCCTATCTTTATTTCTTTCTTTCTGCCTAACTCTACTCTGATAGCATAATGAAGCAAAGTATGTCATTGGTGGAAAATACAGTGTCACTTTACTGCAGTATATATATATATATACACACATATATATATATATGCGTGTGTGTGTATATATACTGGAATTTACAGAGATTACCTAAAAAGAAATTCCCTCCAAAATAAGGAAATGAAACTGATTGTTTTTTTTCTGGCTTGTGACTTTATTATGTTACTCAGTGGCCATAATCATTTATATAAACCAGATTCTTATTCTAAAGTAATTCAGAAACCCCCTGAAATTCAGCATGGTGTTTTGACCTCTGTAACCTCAGTAAGATCAACACCTGCTTGTTTTTACTTCTTCAGGCTGCTGATAGAGGCCCTGCTCAGAAGTCAGAAGCCCAGGGTAGGACTCAGAGTTCAATGATAAATAATTGAGAGTTAGCTGTGATTTAAAAGCATGGCTAATTTCTAGTTTGTGTATAAAGTAAAAATGAATATAACCACAAGTCCAAAGCCAGGTCACTGATTGCCGGAAATTCAGCTTACCTTTTACAATTGGTATTTTGTGATTAATATTTTAAAACATGGTGGCAAAATGCTCATATTGTTTTCTGTAAATGTACAAACTACATAAAATTTGTCTTAGTCTTTTACGCAAGTCTTGCTATTCACAAATGACAAAATTTTGGCAACTAGAAAAAATGATCACAGGATTATTTCAGCATGTGTCCTGAGTGCATTTTGATGGCATGGTGGCTGTCTTCTTGGAGCCCCCAGCTTAGGTGACACACACATGAAGTGGTGATTATGGTGGTGGTGGGGGGGGGGTGGAATGGCGCACACCCACACAGTCCAATGAACAGGTAACCCTTCTACCTGAGAGTGTAGGAATACATCACTCAAGGATAAGTTAAGAAGCCCTGTCCCCTATAATTTTGTTAGACAGAATTTATGATAAAGCTCTTTGTAAGGTGGCTTAAGGAATAAAGGCTGGGAGAAGCCCTGAGCTCTTTTTGTAATACTGTGTTTCCCCAAAAATAAGACATCCCCTGAAAATAAGACCTAGCGCAACTTTGGGAGAAAAAATTAATATAAGATACTGTCTTATTTTCGGGGAAACAGGGTAGCATTTGTAACTGGATATTTTTAAGGAATTTCAAGATGACACATTGTAATGAAAGGCAGCATCCTGGAAGGTGAAGAGCTAGGGCTCTGGCACCTAACAGACACAACCGCAGTCTTGGTTCCACCATATTCTACCTTTATGACCTTGGGCAACTTATTTAACTCGGTTTCTTTGCCGGTTAAATGGGGTTGACAATAGTGTGAGGATAAAATGTGGTGATGAATACATGTGATAGGGAATTTTTTCATTCACTGTGCCATCTGGCACATGATTGACATTTAGTCTATTTTAGCTATTAACATTGATAATCATGTTATTGCTACGCTATGATTACTATTATTATTACAAGTGGATCTTACATTTATGGGATCTAGATTGCTTTTCTGAAATTTGTATTTTTTAACACTATAGTAATATGTATAGTCTGGATAAGTCACAGTCTGAATGTGGACTAAAAGTAACACTTTAAGAAGCATCACCTTTTCACTTGCGTATTTCAGGAGAGATTCGTAGCTTGAGGATTTGGGCATGTCTAGAACAGTGTTTCTCAACCTTTCTTTATTATTGCCCCCCCCCAAGGAGCCTTTAAAAATGTTTTCCTCAGTTTCAATACCATAGCAAAATTTTAGTACCACTGTTATTTTCCTTTTTAAGGAATTCAATACCATAGATATAGTATATATTTATTTATATACCATGGCACAAATCATTGTAATCTCTAAAAAACGTATTTGTCCTATAAGAACAAATTTTCACACCCCTGGGGATGATATCCCCTCTTCCCCCATTGGGAATACATGATCTAATGCAGTGGTTCTCAGCTGAGGGCAATTTCCCCCCAAGAACATTTGGCAATGTCTGGAGACATTTTTGGTTGCATAGGGGTACCCACCCCAGTGCTTACGGGTGGGTAAAGGCCAGCACCCAAAATATCAATAGTGCCAAGTATGTGAAACCTTGCTCTTCATGTAATGGTGAAATGTAAATGCACTCTGAAGAAGCCAGCAATTATTAAGGAAGGTGAAAATGGACCATGCCAGTTCTAAGGTCATGAGGTAAAGAGAAGAGCAGAAGTTGGGTTCCTGACCTTCAGGTTGAACACATAGACAATGTGACATACTTATCTAGAAAAAAGGCCATCCCTGTCTTCCTAACTATTGTTGCTCTTTTCAATAATATAGTGCTTTTTGTTCTTTCTGTCAAATATGTGTAAATGCTGCACATATGTGTTTAGTAACAACTTTGTTTTTTTTTATTTTTGTATGGCTGTGTCTTGCTCTATGAAACAGATGAATTCCTGAAAAATTGCAGAAATTCATTTCCTGAGTTGCATTTATTCCTCTGATTTCATTTCATTATATTTTGAGAGGCTTATCTTCATTCTAAATTGATCCTCATTTGACCTGGCTCCTAACATTGTTGCTTTAAATGTAAATTTAGCAGCCCCTCTGCCTCTCTAGGTTTTAGAGGGTAGGGATAGTGTAAGAAAGAGTATGGATTTATATTTAGAGTGAGACCGTCTATTCTTTGATGGACCTGGTCCAGGTAATGTGCCCAGATCCCCTTGTTCCCCTATTGTCCTTGTCACACTCATGTTCCCTTCTTCTACTGCCCAGAGTTGGCGTCGAGGAGCCCTTTGAAGAGGACCAGAATGAAAACCACTGGCAGTACTTCAGGTGACACAAGGGCATCCTCAGAAACAAATTAACTGGGCCTGGCTTTCCCTCTCTTTCCAACCTCTTTCTAACAGATGTTTTTCTTTATGCCATTTGTCTCTTGCTTTCTTCTTGTGTGTGCCAACCCTCTGCCCCTTTTAGCAAAGGGGCAAGAGGTCAGGTCAAGTCTAATGATTTTTCCACTCTTTCTCTCGGCTGGTTGATGTATCTGTTTCTGAGATTGTGTCTCCTTACCCCACGTTTTGAACAGTGCTGTCGAGTGTCTCCTTGTACAACTGGCCTTAGTGTTGAGAGCAACACATTTGCAGAGCCACCCATACTTTCCCCACAAAATTCTGCTTATTCTCTAGTAAACAAGGATTCAAAATTAGAAAGAGAACTAGAATTTTATATTTCAGCCATGGCTGGCATATGGCTCACACCATCTTAATTAAGTACTATTTTAGTTTTCTAAGTATATTTTTGTGTACTTGTGCCTCAACATGGTGAATCAGAAGATACAAAAAACAGGTGTTTTTAAACCGGAAGATAATTAAAGTCTCTTCTAATGCAATTTGTTGCTCGGTGTGCATGCAGGTTTTTGATTTGATTATGCTTACGGGTGGTGATATTGGACAATCAGAATGAAGACTTTAATGTTCTTTCCTTTCTACATCTTTAACCAGCATGCTTTCTTCCTGGTCTGATTTTGGGTGCTGCTCAATAATATAAATGCAAAGTAGGCTTGAACTCTACTCTATTCTTGGCATTGGGAAAGTATTTCACTCTTTGAGCACAGTGAGGAAAGCAGATATAGCTGCCCCGGTGCATGGATCTTGAGATATCACTAGGCCTTGGATGTATACTGTAATGGCACGCATACAATTAATTGACATGTTTAAGTTTCCTGGGTTCTAACTCTTTTCTGTTTAAAACTCACATATAGGTTTATTTTCAGAGATCTGACCTTAGATACGGATTAAGTTGCAGAGGAAACCCCCTCCTTTGAGATTTTCCACTTGTAAGAAGGAAGTGGAAAGTACAAATTATTACATTTGGAATGTGAGAGAATTCATATTCTGATCTGTTGTTCAAGGTTTTGTATGAAGGTGCATGTATAATGTCTCTCAGATTATTTAGGACCTCGGTCATTCAAATTATAGTTCTAAACTTCTAAATTATAGAAGTTCTAAAGTTTCTGAAATTTTACAGCATTTTATGATAGTTACTCAGAATGTACATATTATACCAGAAGAGGAATTATTCATTTTTTTAATTTAATCATTCCAGATGAATACATCCATTTTATTCCTTATTTTCTCAGTTGGTGTGGGATTTCCACATTTGTCTCATGCTTATTAAAAATAAGGATAAGTCAGCCTGGCTGGTATGTATCAGTGGTTGAGTGTTGAGCTATGAACCAAGAGGTCAAGGTTCGATTCCCAGTCAGAGCATGCCCAGGTTGCGGGCTGAATCCCCAGTAGGGAGGTGTGCAGGAAGCAGCCGATCAATGATTCCCTCTCATCATTGATGTTTCTCTCTTTCCCTCTCTCTTCCTCTCTGAAATCAATAAAAATACATTAAAAACCAAACAAACAGGTGAAGGTTCAGGATCACAGCTAGACATTCAGTTGGTGACCTCTACCTCTTTGGAACATTAGACACTTTGGGTGCACTGATGCTCTGGTGTGACTTTTGTGGACATTCCTGGGACCTCTGAATTAGATGGATTTCATATAAAAAATCTCTATGAGATTTATTGCTTAGAATCCCAGGATAATGTCCAATTGGAAGGATAAGACTCCATTCCTCAAAAACTCCTGCCTAGAAGCAGCCTATAGACACAGCAAAGCCCATCTAATTCACTACAAAGGTCCCATCAAACCTCAGGCCCATGGGGAGGAAATCTGACACTAGGTACACTATGGATTTTAACTAAGTGCTTGGAACAGTGGTTGGCATAGTAGGTACTTAATAAATGTTTGCTGAATCCATGGCTTCATCTTGTGAGTTTAAGCTTTGCCTTCATCAAAATATGGGGTAACTGTTACTTTTTCTTTGTACCCAACTTGTCCAGGAGCATGCACCTTAGGTTAGTGCTTAACAAGCCTGGAGAAAGAGAGTAGAGGTTGGCTGTGCAGGTGGGGTGCTTCTGTGCTGTCTTCCATTCCCCTTTTCCATTAGCCTCTTTTCTCAAGAAATATGCTGGACATCACAGGTGGGGAAGAGGGAAGGAACGGAGAAAAAGTAAGACATGCATCCACATGCATCCACAGGGCTTTGTGCATCTGCTGCCTGCTCACTGGAGTCAGCACCCTGGTACTGGCCTGGAGATAACAGCCCTGGTCAAGGCCATTCAGCATCTCTCTTCAAGCTCCAATCAGACCTGCTGAAAGCTGTGTTCCCTTTACCTTTTATAATGCTATCTGTTCTTTGTGACACTGGAGGAAGTGAGGGAAGACAGAGAATTTTCCTGGCATCTTTGTTTTCACCTTCATTGTTCCATTCTATCTGTGTCAGAATCAGGAAGGCACAGGGATAAAGAATTAACAGACACAAAGGGCAACAGTTGTTATGTTACTAAGCTAAGATAGTGCTTTTATGAATTTGCTATCGGTGGATTTTGGCACTTTGCTTTTATCACCTGTCTTCAGTTATAAGTCACAGGTCATCTCTGCTGTGGGAAGATGTGGAGGCACCAGGATAAAAAAAAAAGTTAGATATGCATGCTGAAGTATTTAGAGGAAGTGTCCTGATGCCTGTGACTTTATTTGAATTCACCCAAAAAATAAGATGAGTGATAGAGAGATAGATGGAGATGTAATAAAGTATAGCAAAAGATTAATGGTAGAATCTAGGTGGTGGATATATAAGTGTTCACTATAAATTCTTTCAACATGTCCTTGGCTATATGAGAAGTTTCATGACAAAAGGTAGGGAAATAAAAGCAGGGCAGGGCAGATGTGAGGAAGCAGTGGAGAGGAAAAGCCTGGAGCAGTGGGACCCACATTTTTAGGACAGTCTGGAACAGGAAGGCAGACCAACATTGCCAGCTGGTGCTGTTCCTCAGAGGCCTTGCTCGGGGTGTAAGCCCACAGGATGTATTGCCCCTCCTGTCCCTGGGATCTGAGTGTAAAACCTCTTTCTCATTACCTTTGCATGACAGTCTTTCTCCTCTTCTAGCTAATCATGCCTTCTGCTTCGGGAAGATGGTCAGCCTCTTGCCAACTTTCAGCCAGAACGGCCGCCATGGTTCAAGCTAATGCTCTCCATTTTTCTCCTTGTCTCTCTCCCTGGTGACTTACAGAGTTGGTGTTGACCCAGATCAAGACCCGCCACCCAACAACGACAGCTTTCAAGTCTTACAAGGGGTAAGTCACAAGACATGCTTCTTCTCAGGGAAGATAGTCTTAAAAATAGCTCAAATGTATTGAGCATTTACTACCCACTAGGCACTTTACATGAATTCCCTCACTGTGATCTTGACAAGGACCTTGTGAGAAAGGTACTGTTATCCCATTTTACAGATAAGACATTGAAGTCTGAAAGTTTCAGTGAGTCATGTAAGGCCAGAGAATTAAAAAGTGATGGAGCCAGGATTTGACCCCAGAGACAGTGTTCATAAACAACATATTAAAGAGATGGGTCAGGCCGGGGAGGAGCCTGCAATGGTCTCCCCTTGACTGGAATCAACCTGGAACTCTTCAGTCCGCTGGCCGTCACTCCATCCACTGAGCCAAACCGGCCAGGGCCATACTTTTTTCTGACCTAACCTTGGAAGTCTCACAGCATCACTGCTGTGAGTTTCCATTGGTTATAACGAGTTTCTAGGGGCAGCCCAGATTCAAGGGGAGGGGATAGAGACCATAACCCCTTGATGGGAAGAGTGTCAATGAAGTGGTCAACATGTTTTAATGCTGCCATATCACCCTGGTTGTGGGGCTGGAAGGATGACTTTGTCTCCAGGTTTTTCTCCTTTCCCAGGCTGGCATTTCCTGAGCAGCCCAACTGGAGGAAAGGAGAGTTATAAGAGCAGAAATTTGTTTCCAAGATGTTGTTATTTGCCCTTGGAAGTCAAGAACAATTTGATCAGCATTGAACATGCAGTGCTGAGCATAGTTCCTGGTACCTGAGGAGGTCGAGAGGTATTTCCTGGGCAGATGCAGGCATGAAACAGTGTAGTAGGAAGCTTTACTGGTCACATACACGTGTTTTCTGTGAAGCCATGTTGAGTGTTGCTTTTCCTTCCAGCCAGCATTGAATTAAACAGATCATTGCACTTCATCCCAAGTCCGGTCTACATATTTCAGATTCCATCGGATCTTCTGAATGACTCGATCTACCAAATCCCAAGTGACAAGTGTTGCAAAATGCAGTGCTGTGAGGGGGGCCAGAGGATGCTCTTCTGATTCATTTCTCTTTGAGGATGGTCACAGCCAGATAAGGCATTCTTGGTGTTTATGACCCTTGGTGTTTATGTCTCTTAATGAACACAAAGCCATGTCCTTTGAAAGCTCTGGGCATTGGGGAAGAGTTTTCAATGAGCTACGTTGGAGATTTGGTACCCACCCTAGTTGTGCTCCCAAAGACCTTTGCGGTTATATTAGAATTGGCCATCACAGCAGTCGGGAACATGTGGTTTCAATGAGAAGTTCTTTTTGAAAAGTTGCTGTGATTAAGGACTTCAGTAAACAGGGTTCTGGGAAACTAATTCAGAACATAACTGTTTAGGAGATCTGAAAACTCACCCTGAGAGAACCTGGGCAAAGAGCGTGATGGATGTCTTTATTTTACTTATGGCTCTGGTAGGATATGACCGCCCTGTTCCAGAGTATTCTCCACAGACCTACTGCCAGTCCAGATTAATTTTATAAGAAAAGCCGGCCAATTCCAGCTGGATAGCCAGAGTTTAGAGAGATTTTATCTTGACAGTTCACATCTCCCAGCCCTCTTGCTGTTTACTATTGCTCTTTCCTTTGGACCCAAGCATCTGTAAAAGGAAATATGGGAAATGGTTTGGGCTTGTGACCAGATTTAGTAACAAACTTGCTGATTCTTATCCATGGAAATGTTTGAGAAAGCAGGAGGTCCTAAGTGCTAAAGCAGTGGTCGGCAAACTCACTAGTACAACAGCACAGCGACTGACATTTCTTTGGAGAGCCAAATTTTTTTAAACTTAAACTACTTCTAATGCCACTACTTCAACGTAGACTCGATGAGGCTGTGGTATTTTGTGGAAGAGCCACACTCAAGGGGCCAAAGAGCCGCATGTGACTCGAGAGCCGCAGTTTGCCGACCACGGTGCTAAAGGATCTGGCAGTGCATTTAGTCCATGAAGTGACAGCTAAGATAGGCAAACCTTCCTGGGTGGGTAAACTCAGTGACTCAGTGTTCCTGACAGCTCCCTGGAGGGCCCTTTGGACCGACTGGAAAAGGGCACAGCCACTCGCCCTGCACAGCGAAGGCCAGATGGCCCAGCCCTAGCAGAAGCTGTATTATAGCTTCCCTTGAACTTTCCATCTTCCAAGTCTCTCACACAGTCATGCAGGGGCCTCCTCAGTCAGTTCCTTTGGCATTTCAAGATTGCTGTCAAGACTGGATCAAAATAAAAAAGATGGAAAGTTAAAGGGAAGTTAAACTTCAAGTTTGGTTCCTCAGGACAAAAAATGACTCATGCCCTTGTGCAGAAACAGTCCTTTCTCTAAATCCTCCCGGCCTGACCTTGGTACAGTGAGCCACTGACGACAGGCTGGGAGTACTCAGTGGTCATGTGAACCAGTCAAACAGGGAAATAAATGGGCTTCTCATTTTTGGGTGAAACCCTGGGTTCTCGCAGCTTCCCCTGAAATGGATCCAGATCACACACTCCGTGTTGTCATGAAACTGAAATGAGAGGTGGAGAAAGTCCAGATGTTTGTTCTCCATTGGAAAGAAAGGGCAGTTCTCCTTCCTTCCTCCCCCCCCTCCCAATTTTATTTATTTATTAAGTATTTTAATTTCTTTATTCATAAGGTATCACATATTTGTACTCAAACCCCCCCTCCCCATTTCAATCCCCCACCACTCCCCACTCATGCCCCTACCCCCCTATTGTCCTTGATCATTGGGTAGGCTCATATGTGTGCATATAAGTCCTTTGGTTGATCTCCCCTTTATCCCCACCCTCCCTCTGAGGTTCAACAGCCTGATCCATGGCTCTTTATCTCTGGGTCTGTTCTTGTTCATCAGTCTATGTTGTTCACCATTTCCCCCAGATGAGTGAGATCATGTCCTACTGGAAATATAAGAATCAAAAATGAGACAAGCTATAATCGTTATGCTGAGAGGCAAATGAATCAGTCTGTAGTGAGTTTCTTTCTGGGTCAACAGTTCTTTTGAGACCCAGTTTCAATGTCAAACAGTTCCTTATGTGTTACCTCCTTTTGTAAATGATCTTTCTAAAAACAAACAGAAAAGTGACATTTGATGGGAAAGCATTTATTTTATATAGAGCACAATTTTCCTCACTAGTCTAGAAGCCCAAGGTTATAAACAGTCCTGGCCACAGGGCTACAGAATATTAGCTTGTGTGGGTGAAGGAAGGGAGCTGTTAGCTTGAACGTTTTTGGCTTCGGGTGAGGGAAGCATAAGACTATTGTGGGCAGACTTGAGTTTCATATCCCTGGCAAGTTTGACTCATTAAAACAAAACAAAACAAAACAAAACAAAACAAAACAAAACAAAACAAAACAAAAAAAACCAGTTGCTTTGTTTCTTGGAGGTCTTGGTGACTTTGCGACAAAAACAAAAACAAGTGCAGTTGGAGGCAAACTGCCCAGGCTTGGAGGTAGCCTCACACCCCATTCAAGTGGGGACTTTTCATGCCAGAGCCAACTGAGATTTATGTTGGCCGGACATGCAGGCACACCATTCACTTCCTTCCCCATGTTTATAGAAGAACACTCATTGATGACATTTAGCTAAGAGCCCAAATCTGAATTTGTCCTTTATCATCTCAGCAGGACAAGGTCCCAAGCCGGATATTAGTGGAATGTGGAGGACAGGAAACCTCTGTGTTAGCAGAGCATTGTCTCTGTGTGAGTATGTGTGTATGCACACAAGTGTAAAAACTGCAAAAAATCAGTGGTTCGTAGTTGCATTGGCATAGAACTTTCTGGGCAAGTTGGATGTGTCTGTTTCTGGGTTCTTCAGATTTTCTTACAAGCTGAAATCTGATACCCACTCACTTAAATCTTTAACTTCAAACAGTGCTAAAGTACCTTTCCTCAAATGCTTATTTTCTCATCCCTCTCCTACCACACCTTTATTTTTGTTCTTCTTCTTTTTAAGATTTTGAGAGAGAGAGAGAGAGAGAGAGAGAGAGAGAGAGAGAGAGAGAGAAAGAGAAATGATTGATTAGCTGCCTTATGCACAATTCCTACCAGGGATGGAGTCCACAACCCCTCAACCTAGGTGCCCTGATCAGGAATCAAATGGGCAAACTTGAAGGTGCACGGGACAACACCCAACCAACACTAGCTAGGGCTTGTTTTGTTCTGATTGCCTCCTGCTATTCTCTGTTTTTCTTCTTAAAGTTGAAAATTAACATTAAGTTATTCATTCAGTTGATAAATATTTATTGAGCATCTGTTATATTATAGACATTCTTTCAGGCTCTGGAAATAGATCAGTAAACAAGACAGATGAATCTTGGTCCTTAAGGATTTGGTGACGAAGTGATGGAGGATAAGGGTGGAGAGTGGCAGAGATGAGTTCTTGGAGGCCCTCATCTGCTTTTCCTCTAGAGACTGTAGACCTCTCCTTCTGCTGCCCCAGTTGTCCCTATGGACCAGCACCAGAGCTTATTATAAATGCAGATTCTCTGGCCCCACTTCAACCCCAGAATCTGAATCTTCATTTTAACAGGGCTCCTAGGAGGGTTGTGTGCACTTTACAATTTGGGAAGCCCTGGAGTGGACTCCGTGGAGCTCAATTCCCTGTTTTTAAGCTCTTTTTTGCTCCCTTTTGAGAAATCTTGGCCCCATCATCCCAGGGTCAATGAAAAAGACCCAAATCTGGTTGCATCATTTATTTATTCATTTGCTCTGCATTCAGTTTATATTCCTGCTATAAGAAATTACCATAAACTTTCCAGCTTAAAACAACACAATCTTACAGTCCTGCAGATCAGATGACCGGTGGGCTCCACTGGTGTCTCTGCTGCAGGTCTCTCAAAGCCAAGATCAAGATACCAGCAGGGTTGGATATTGGGGGAGAAGCCACTTCCAGGCTCATTCAGGTTGTTGGTAGAATTTAGTTTCATGCCCTTGTAGGACAGAGGCCCCATTTCCTTGCTTGCCATTGGCCTGGGGATCAAACTCGGCTCCTAGAGGCACCTGCAGTTTTTGGCTTGTGGTCCCCTCCATCTCCAAAAGCAGCAACAGTGAGAAGAGTCTCTGCCATGCTTTGAATCTGTTCTGCCTCTTCTTCCACTGCATCTCTCTGACTCTTAAAGGGCCCATGTGATTACACTCGACCCCCCCCCCCTGGAGAACCTTCAGTCCACCTACAAATCTTTGGGGGGCCCAGTATTTTGCTCCATCTCTGAAAAAAAAAAAAAGCATAAACTGTTCTCATATTGTAATGACCTTACTTTAAAAAGCTTTTTAACAATAAGAATGAAATGAAGTCCAATTCTACCCTGAAATCCTTATTCACTAGTTCTAGAAAAATTATTTTGAAAGCGGGACTTTAAGTTCTTTAATCTGCTTTCTGTTTCTTCATCACATTTGTCACCATATGTGTAGCTGTCTCCCCCTCTGGAAATGTGCTCAAGGGGCAGGTGCTAGGTTTCATTCCTCTTTTTGTTTCCATTACCCAGCCTGGTGCCTGGCAGGCACACTGTTGGTGCTTAATGGATACAGAAGAAATAAATACTCTTAGTTATATACTCAACAGTTGTTGATAAGCAGACTTGGTGGTGTTTATTCTTGAAGGACATTTTCCACTAATGATGTCACTAAAATGTTTACAAATCCCTCATGTAATTCACAAGAACAGAGAGTAGAATGGTACCCTGTTTCCCCGAAAATAAGACAGTGTCTTATATTAATTTTTGCTCCCAAAGATGCGCTAGATCTTATTTTCAGGGGATGTCTTATTTTTCCATGTGCTAGGTCTTATTTTCGGAGGATGTCTTATTTTTGGGGAAACACGGTATTTACCAGGAGCTGGAGGAGTTAAGGGGATATTTAAAGGTACAAACTTGTAACTAAAAGATGAATAACATTTGGAGATCTAATGCACAGCACAGTGACTATCAAAAATGCTGTATTATAAGCTATAAAGTTGCTAAGGAACTAGATGTTAATTGTTCTCACCACAAACAATAAGTCATAACTATTGAGTTGGTAGAGATGTTAACTAACACTGCAGTAGTAATTATACTGTGACTAGGGGCCTGGTGCACGAAGATTCGTGCACGGAGGGATGGAAGGTAGGGGGAGGGGGAGTCCCTCAGACCGACCTGAATGCTCTCCAATCTGGGAGCCCTCATATGAGCGAATTGTCTGAGACCCCAACCTAGTTTGTTTTGTTGCTCACATAATAATAGAGGCATTTTTTTCTTTGCTCCATTGGTGGTGATTTCCTGGAAGTTTTAGGATATCTTCCCTTTAATTTTTCCTACACATTCTGATTTTACTTATGTCTCTCACCTTTGCTTTCCCTTCATTCCTCACCACAAAAGTAACTTGCTCCAGGTTCACTTTGCTCTGGTGTCTAGGAGATCCACGTGCCACCAGAACTACTATTCCCAGAATTCCTGGTGCTCCCCACATTCTTAGTTTTCCCTTCATGCTCTGTCTCTGTCCCATGACCTCCCACTCTGCCAAGTCCTCCGAGCCACCAGCTCTCCTGCTCTGCTCTCTGCCTATGCCTGTGTATGCAAATTAACCCACCATCTTTGTTGGGTTAATTTGCATACTCAGTCCTGATTGGCTGGTGAGTATAGCAGAGGTACAGTCAATTTACATGTTTCTCTTTTATTATATAGGCTATGTAAATGTATGAAAGCAACACATTGTACACCTTAAACATACCTGATGTTATATATCAATTATATTTCTATTTAAACTTGCACACACAGCAAGGGCAATGACACAGTCATGACTAGGGCTAGGATTTGGAACCACGTAGTCTGTTGAGAAAGCCTGTAATATTCACACCCATACCTCTTGGAGTGCTCTGTTGCCTTGAAGGGAACATTTCTCAGAGAAGATGACCTTGTGTAGAGCCTTGAAAGATGAATAGGAATCAGCCAGGTAGGTGTTGTGAGCAGAGAAGTTGAGAGTATGACAGGGTGTCCCAGGTTTTAGATAAAGATATGGGTGTGAACCCCCCTGAGATAAAGATATGGGGTGTGAACCCCCCTGATGGGAATGCAGGTTTTGAGGAGGGGTGTGGTGACAGAACAAGTTCCTGCTTTTCCTGTGGGTAACATTTGAATGGATATTCAAGAGTTTGCAAGTGCTGCTGGGAAGGAGGCCTTGCCTGTTGGAGGATAAGCCTGTGGCCGCACTGATCTCTGCTCAGATCCAACAGGAAGGACTCTGGTGGCTGGTCTGTGATAAGTCGTGTTGTGAAGCAGTTCTTTGTCTTCTGAGTCAATTTATAAAACTAGTCCTGATTTCCCCAAAGCCTCTGTGTGGACTTATCTAAGCTCTGGCTCTACCTAATCATGCTTTTGGCACCATCTCTTGGAATAAGAAGTTGTTCAACAGCCCTGTTACCATGTTGCCCTTTTAGATTTGCCCTGTATTTGCTCCATGTGACCCTTCAGGGCTATCTCTTAGTTTCTTACATTTCTGAGATCACTTGGTCTTATTTGTGGACTACAGGCATATTTCTTTGTACCCTGAGATCTTTTTGTTAGTTTGCTTTAAAAAAAAAATAAGCATTTCCTCTGTTTTACTCATTTTAATTGTCCCTCTTGGGGCTTATATAAGTCTCCTTAGCTTCCTTGATATGAGATGGCAAGAACTTAAGTGTCCCAAGTGACGACAATGCATTGTGGTTTTGCACAGAAGAGGCTGAGAGTAGGAGGTTGCCATTTTTATTGTTGTTTTAAAGAAGGAGCAGATGAAACTAGTTGTTTTAAAGAAGGAGCAGATGAAACAAGGGAACTTGTCTTGTGCCTGATAGAGCAGGGGTGGGGAACCTCTTTCCTACCAAGAACCATCTGGATATTTTTAACATCATTCTCGAGCCATACAAAATTATCAACTTAAAAATTAGCCTGCTTTATTTGGTCAAATATGTAATTAACTCACCCTTAATCCCTTAACAGGGCCGGACCAAATGATTTCATGGGCCTCATTTGGCCCTCGGGCTAGATGTTCCCCACCCCTGGTTTAGAGTATCTTTCCTAATGATTTTATCATCTTTTTCATTTTTCTTCCGTAAGATTCTACAGGCCCTTGGAACTGAGAACTTAGACCGTTTATTTTTTCCATAAATATATTTGCTTTCCAGAATGTTCATCTACCAATTTTCCACTCAGTTGTGTGGCATTCTGAACTTTCTCTAGAGTTGTCATTGGGCTAGCGATTCGTTACCTGAATGAATGATTATTATTCAAGTGGAGATATTTCCATAAATATATTTGCTTCCCAGAATGTTCACTACCACTTTTCCACTCAGTTGTGTAGCATTCTGAACTTTCTCTAGAGTTGTCATTGGGCTAGCGATTTGTTACCTAAATGAATGATTGTTATTCAAGTGGAGATATTTCTGTACCCTTTTTCCCCCCACACCAGTTATAAAAATGTGAAATAAAGTTAGTCTCTGTAATCTCTCATTTTGATTTCCTCATCTATTTAACTAAGTTGTTTTCATATGGGGTGGGGCAAAAGCAGGTTTACAGTTGTTCTTATGCAAAATAATAGAATAATTAATAAATAATAATACAAGAATAAACTGTTTCGCATAGGAACAACTGTAAACCTACTTTTGCCCCACCCTGTATTTGCCATTAAACATTCCTCAAATACCATGGGGACTTCGTTTTTAAAAATAATCTTCACCATTGGAAACTTTAGGAATTTAAGTAGTGCATACTAACGTCCCTCCCTCTACTTGCCTGTGTGCTTAGCTTCTCAGAGGTCTCTAAGGAGTCCTATAGTATGTATTTCTATGACAGGTGGAATTTACACCCACTGTGACTTAGAGCTACTTGTAATTGTGGCTCCACTTTTATTTGCTTATTGCTGATTGTCTCCCAGTTTCCTCTCCATATAACAGTCAAGGGGGTGATGATAAAAATGGCTGTCTGTACTCTCAGAGCTTGTCATCCAGCCATCTAGTACCCACCACTGTCCTCAAAGTGATGTAGTTAGTCCACTTTTAGTAGTAATTGTGCTGCTCATCATACCTGCATAAAACAGATGTTTAAAACCAGAATTGAATGTTTGATTTGCTAGTTATTTTGAAAAGCAAATGATGGAAATGTGTTGAGTTGAAAAGGCATGAAAGGAGTAGTAAAGGAACTTACTACTTGAGGGTAGGTAGATAAAAGAACAGAGACACTAGTTCTGGCTCTATTCCCGCTATGCCCACCTTCCTAAAACTGGTAGAACAAGTGCCTGCACCACCTGGAACACAGGGCATAAGCCTGAGTCAGGACCACCAAGAGCTAGTTTGTCAGGAAACTCGGCCAAGCACAGTTTTCGCAGACCAGGAAAGTTGGGAGACCTGGAAAGTTGGTTTTACAGAAGCTTTCTTTAATATTCTCTATAAATCAATTTTGGCCTGTTAGGATCTAGACTACTTAAGGGTAATTAATCTTCTGAAAGACACTTCAAGGAAAATCACAATCAGAATACCAGAAAAAAAATTTGTATTACTTTGAGTTGATCTACCCACAGACATAAGCCAATTGTTTCATTTGGGGGTTTGATTTGCCTACCTTTCGAATTGTTCAATTAAAAAAAATTACTTCTCAATATAACTTTGATGCTTTGGTGATACAGGATGTATGATTCTGAGCTCAAAATAACTAAAACTTATGGTTAAAATAAAGCTTTTCCTCCTTTTTTCAATCCATTTGTACAACTAAGCATCTGTCTTATTGTTTTTTCCTAGGATGGTCCAGATTCTGCTGGAGGAAACCGGACAAAGCAGGAGAGTGCATGGCTGTTCAGGCTGTGGTACAGCTTTGACCACAAGTATCCTTTGAAGTAGTTTCCCTGAAACATTGGCAATGAAATCGTCCTGTTGAGTTGCCAGTAAATGACTTCTGATAAGTAAGGAAGGATGTGTGCTTGCTACAGTGAGGTCAGCTCTCTCTTGGGACTCATGCACTGATCATTCAACCACAGGTGGTCCTGGTGAGCATCTCTTCCGCAAGAGATTTAGCGGACCCATAGCCTGGTAGACTCATGTGGTTCTTCAGAGCTTTGTATACCAGAGGAATGTGGCTTTGTAGGTGAATTGGTGTGGTCAGGAAGTGAAGTGAAGCATATTATTCACTGGGCTTAGTGTTTTGCTAATTAAGTATTATAAAAATAACTTTGCTACTCGTGACTTGCATTTTCGATTTTTTTATTTTTTAAATTTATTGTTGAAAGTACTACCCATGTCCCCGTTTTTTGTTATTTTCCCCTATTGACCCCCTCCTCCCTGCATTCACCCCTCCCAAGTTCTCACCACACTATTGTCTGTGTCCTTGAGTTATGCATATAAGTTTCCCAGTTAATCTCTCCCTCCCACAGCCATCCCCACTTTTCCTCTTAGATTCATCAGTCTGTTCATGGTTCTGTGACTCTGGATCTATTTTGTTCATCAGTTTATTTTGTTCATTAGATTCCACATACAAGTGAGATTGTGTGATACATTTTCACCTTTAAATAGACTCTTTTGATGAACAAAAGGTCTTTGTCCAATTCATTGATCTTTTCTGTTCTGGTCAGTACTCTTTGTGTCCTGTTTTAGAAATCTCTGTCTATCTCAAAGTCATGAAGCTAATTTCCTATGTTATCTTTTAGAAGCTTGATTTATTTTCTTCTGTGCATCTTTTTTCTTTTTTCTTTTCAGTGACAGATATGGGAAATGAAAAAGCATACAGATCATTTGGAACGTGCCAGATGAGGTTATCCTTCCTCAGAGATAATCTAATTCACATTGGGTCTAGGTTAGGGGCATTAGTAATTCCAGATCACTTTCGTTCAATCAGAAATAAAGTTGATTTGAGCTGGGCTGCCATTCCTGTGAAGGTTAGTCTGTTTTCTGTTTACCCTTTGTTCTGGGTTATAACCTAGAGCCTACGATGTTTTGGAGTATTCCTTAGAAGGCTCTGGACACCAGTTTTTGTCAGATTCACTATTTTCTTTCAGTCTGCCAGATGCTCTGCTCAGCTGCTGAGGTGCTTTAGGGAAAGCGTGGCTCGCCAAGCGCCCAAGCTTCCCACTTGGGTGTCCTCCAGATTCTGGCTCTCTTCACTGCCCTGGTAGCTTTGTGATTCCATTAAGCAGAAGATTTTGTTGTGTTTTATGACCAGCTTTTCTAGTCATTCTTAGTGGAAAGGATGGTTGAAATTATTGTTTATGATTGTTTGCTATTAACTGAAATAGAATCCCCAGAGGTTTCTTAAAGCCATATGGACCTGTCCACATTGTAATCCAGAAGGCATGTGACTCACTGGGCTTCTAAAGGATGTAGAGAAAATTGGAGGGAGTCCAATTTTGTCACAGGAGAGTGACAAAATACTAAAGTGATAAGAAATTGATTCTTGTCAGCACATAGTACTCCACTTTCAACAATGGCTAGATTATCCAGGTGGAAAATCAATAAGGAAACATTGGACTTGAACTACATTTTAGATCAAGTGAACCTAACAGACATGCACAGAACATTGCATCTAACAGCAGCACCATGTATATTCTTCTCAAGTGCACATGGAACATTCTCCAGTATAGATCTGGGTGTTCGATCACAAAACAAGTCTTAGAAAATGTATGAAGATTGAAATTAAAGCAAGTATCTTTCCCAACCACAATGGTATGAAAATAGAAATCAATAACAACAGGAAGACTGGAAAACTTTTCAAACATTTATACATCCAACAACACACGCCTGAACAACCAACCAATGGGTGCACATTAAACAATACAGTCCTCAATAACCAATGGGTCAATGAAGACATCAGAAGGGAAATAAAAACATATCTTGAGACAAATGAAAATGGAAACACAACATAACAAAACTTATGTGGTTTAGCAAAAGCAGTTCTAAGAAGAGATAAAAAGTTTATAGTGTTAAATACGGACATTAAAAAGAAAGATCTTGCCCAACCAGCGTGGCTCAGTGAGTGAATGTCCACCTATGAATCAGGAAGTCATGCCCGAATTGCAGGCTGGATCCCCAGTGTGGGGTGTGCAGGAGGCAGGGGATGAGTAATACTCTCTCATCATTGATGTTTCTGTCTCTCTCTCCCTTCCTCTCTGAAATCAATAAAGGTATATTTTAAAAAGAGATCTTACCTTGGCCAGTGTGGAGGGTCTTGCCTTCAGTTTGTAAAACAAACAAACAAACAAACAAACAAACAAAAATGCAACATCTGTGAGGTGCAATAAAGAGAAACACAATAAGAAATGGCTACATTTTCTGTATTGTACTGGTAAAATGGGGAAAGAGACATTTTCTAGGTAGAATGTCAGATGATTTACTTGTTGGGATTGCTAAACACATTTTTTGGGGGGTGTTCTTTGCAGACGTTGTTTCCTTAATTCTCTTTTTAAAGTTACTTGAAGCCCATCCTCACTCACAGTGGCCCCCCATTAGCCACCACCCTCCCAGCCTGGTGTGGCCTGCTCGCTCGATGTCTGACCAGTCCCCAGGTGTATGACGTAAGTACAGCATGTCAGGGCTGCATTTCTATGCAGCCTCCAAATTCACAGAATGTGCTTCTCCAGGAAGGTGATCGATGACAAATGACCAGCTGGCATCTGCTTCATACATTGTGCACAGCAACAAGGAAACCTTGTATCCGTGTTATGGGACTCCCAAACATGAGCAGCTATGGCATAGTAGGAAGATTTCTCTCTCCCTCTGAGGTTGCAAACTTTCAAAGAATGAAAAGGAATCTCCCCCTGAAATCTGGGTGCTAAGAGCCCTAGAAGAGGTATCTTGACAGAAATGAACAAAAACAGTATTCAGCCCATGCATTAATGGGAGAAATGGAATGTATTCAAACAGGGAACATGATGTCATCTGTTGTTAATAAAACTCTCACCGGGCAGACATAGTTTCAGGACTTTCTAAATAGCGATGGAGAGGAGGAGATGGGGCGAGTTTGGAGTGAGTTTTAGAATTTCCCTCTGCCTGACGAGAGGACTCTTATTTCAGTATACATTTGCATCCTACCTAATTCCAGTGAGGATTTGAGGCAGCAAGCAAGAGGGATTGCGTGCTTGCCTGTTACAAAAGCTGCAGCATTGGTTAAATGGAGTCACATTGTGGAGTTTGGAGAAGTCGACATCATTGAGAAACAATGCAGAAAGCATGGGTGTGTTTGTCACCAGTAAGGGCACAGAGATGGGCTGGAACCAGAGAAGTGAGGACCTCCCTAGACCAGCGCACTTAACAGGCATTCCTCTAGCACCTACTGAGTTAAGCACCTCAAGGAAGGGTGCCAACAAGAGGAGAAGGAGGTCACTGCCCTTTGGTGATGCACCCAGATGGGGAGCCAGGCATCGACACAGGAGAATCTGTGGGCAACATGACTGAGCGGGGACCATGGATGGTCAGGGTAGATTCAGGTCCTGCACTGAGGACACCCTGCTGTGTAGAGGACAGGATGTAGGACTTCAGATGTGCTCTGGAGGGTAGATAGGAAAAAGCAGAGAAAGAGCAGTTTTCAAACTGTGTTTGCTATTCCAGAAGGAAGTCCAGACCTAGCCGGTTTGGCTCAACGGATAGAGGGTCAGCCTGCAGATTGAAGGGTCCTGGGTTTGATTCCAGTCAAGGGCACATGCCTGGGTTGCAGGCTCGATCTCCAGCCCTGGCCAGGGTGTGTGCAGGAGGCAATTGATGTGTCTCTCACATCATGTTTCTCTCTCTATCTCTCCCTCTCCCTTCCACTCTCTCTAAACAATAAATTGAAAAATATCCTCAGGTGAGGATAACAAAACAAAACAGAAATGGAAGTCCACAATGTTTGACAGCCATGAAATAGGGGAGTGGGGGAGCACAGCACCCTTGTTTTGCTTGTTGAACCCCTTGGAGAATGAAAGGTTGTCTGACCTCACACTGCTTCCTGAGACTCTCTCTTTGCCATCTTTTAGTTTCAAGTAGCTGCCACATGGCTTATGCCTGCCTTGCTCAGCCTAGTCTGTTTTGCTATAACTGCTGCTTATTATGAGATGCTGTGCCAATCCTCTTTCCAATGGAGTCACTTTCCATATCCTTTAGGTGGGCAGAACCAGTCTGGAGGTAGCATAAGTCCAAACCTGCTTCCTACCAGATGAACAACCTTGGGCAAATTTCATAGGTTCTCTTAGCTCAGATTTTCCGCTCTGTGACAGGAGAGGGGTAAGGACCAAATGAGAGCTTGTGTGACATTCCTGGCGGGCATATAATAGACCAAGCATGCCAAACTCAAAGGCTAACACGGGCCAAATAAACAAGGTTTAAGTTTTTGTGAGCCACAAAAAATCAAAAGCTTCGATTTTCATAGAAATGTGGGTTTATTTTGATAGAGACATGCTGAATACAAAGGGCTGAAATAAATGAGTCATCATTAAAGTAATAAAACATTTTAATAAAGATTAATATTTTTCTTGAACATTCTTATCAGACACTGAATAGCTGCACATATGAATAAGTGTAACACAAATAAACCTATTTTCTTCTTCAAATTGAAATATTTCCTGTTGCACACACCAAACAAGTCAGTACAAGACTAATGACATGGCAATGGGCTGCTAAAATATTCCCTGCTGGTAGTATTAGTGGAGAGAAATGGTGTGCCTATGCGTAAGGCCCATAAGGGAAACGAATGCAAGATGATGATAGTAATCAGTCATTAGCAAACGTTGTAGTTCATTATTAACAATTATGTACAATAGGATATTGTAAAAATTAAGTTCCAAAATTTTTACTAAAATGTTTCTTACATACCGTTATATTGGCTGGGCCGCAAAAATATTTGTTATGGGCCACATGTGACCCATGGGCCGTGAGTTTGACATGCTTGTATTAGACAATCAAGAAAATATACTTCTCTCTGTATGATTTGCTTCATCTATATGAGGGCTTCCCATCAGGGATTTTGTGTGGCGACAGGAAGGAAATCCTAATAATGGGTTGTCTTCTTCCCGCTATGCTGACTAGGGTAAAGAGCAGCTCAAATGTAAACTAGTTGTGTTTGGAATGGTTTGTGTAGGGCAGGAGGTCCTTTCCCAGAGGGGAGACGACCTGAAACCTATTTGCAGGTCTTCCCAGAGACCTTAGCCCTTCCTTTCTTTGTGGGCTAGGAAGCTGAAAATCCAGGTTGGTTTCCTTTCCTTCCGTTTTGTCACAGGCTGCCAGGCATTTAAAATCACAGCTGCCTTTTGCTATTCCAAGTCCTAATTCAGGCAACTGTGCTATACATTGAATAGCATTCTACAGCTTACATCCAGTTATCATGCTGGAGGCTCGATGCAGGCCAGTTTCATGATCCCCAGTTTCAGATGAGGAGTTGAGGTTGGGATTGGATGGAGGAGCTCTGGAAGATTCCAGTCTTCATTTTGTTGTTATTGTTATTTGTTGCCCTTTTCAGAACCAAGAGCCACTGAGAGAGGAAGACTCTGATTTCATCCTGACTGAGGGTGACCTCACCTTAACCTACGGGGACAGCACAGTGACTGCCAATGGCTCCTCCGGCTCCCACACGGCCTCCATGAGCCTGGAGGGCAGTCGGAAAACAAAGAGCAGCTCTGAGGAGGTGCTGGAACGAGACCTGGGAATGGGAGACCAGAAGGTTTCCAGCCGGGGCACCCGCCTAGTGTTCCCCCTGGAGGATAATGCATGACTTTCCCCCCAAACCGTGACACGATGGGTAGACCCACCGGTGGTGTGGGGCAGGCTGCATGCTCCTGTGTTGATTGAGGTGGGACAGTGACTGAATGGAACTAACGCTTCTATCTTATTGAGGTCTGAAGATACCTTAACATTTAAAATTTAACGCAAGATACAGATGGTGGGGCTCAAGGCAAATGCAGATCTATTCCCACTTTTTCACATAGTAGTGCACTGTTCAGAGTTAAACAAACAAAAACAATCGCATGCTTTACAGGTCTCTACTTCATTCACCTGCGGTACCTGAACAAGGTGTGGTGGGTGCTGGGACCCCTCCCAGGAGAAGCTTCATATCCATACACAGCAGTGCGAGTCCAGCTGGATGTAGGACTATCAAGTGAAGGGAGAACAGGCTAGAAGAGAGATCGTGAAGGAAGGCCAGTGAGATTGGACCTCCAAGGATGAGGGGAAGCTGGTGTCCAATGGGACAGAAAGCATGAAAAAATAATTTGAGTGGAGGCTCCAGCAACCAGGGCTGTGTGACAGCAGCCTCATCTCTGGACTCCTGACTTCTTTTGCTACCTGTATTTTCTCTAGACTGAAGATTGGAAAATATATACATCAACATTTCAACATGGGGGAAAGAATTATAATTCCTTCTCTGGAAATCTCCATAAAGAAGAAGTTACTGGAATGTTTCAAACCAAAGGCAAAATAGTGTTAAAGTGCTGTTGTTGTTGTTTTTTGTTGTTGTTTGTTTCTGTTTTGTTTTCATTAATGTGAAGGCAGGAGAAACTATTGATTACATCACTGTAAATACCAGTCTATTCTTGATGGCTGCCATATGAGCTGACTGTCTGAAAAATGATGAACAAGACTGAGATATCTACTGTGGGTTTGTAAATAACACCAAAATGTGTGGAGTGCTTTGATCTGGGGTTGAGAAGGCAGTAACAACCCTCAGAGGCAATACGCTAGTATTCCGAGGGAAGAAATCTCACTGTGGAAAAAATCACTGCAAAAAAACACACATAACATTGTATTCTAAAGAGTTAGAATTCCAAACTTCAAGCTACGGAATGAATGAGATTTCGGTGGTTATCTGAAGACTCAGAGGAGAGGCAGTGGAATGTTAAGCTTTATTTCTGCAGTGGAAGGTTCCTGTCCACCATCAGATTAAGAATCTAGATGTCTTGGCACTGAGTGCCATGTAGAGAAAGGTTATTTTCTTGGTATCTGGGGAGGTTTGCATCAGCTTCCTGTGTGAGTGTGGTCTGAGATTTAGATTTCTACTTTGGGTTCTTTTGTGGGTGAGCTGTTCTACCTGCCCACACCTGTAATAAGTGAAATGCTGAGGAGAACTCTTGGAAACCATGTTTGAGATTCTCCCTGTGCTCTATGCTACAGAGCTATTATTTTCAAAAACCCAATTTCTAAAAAGAACGCTTTCATTTAATGTGGCCATTTTCGTTATAATATAGCAGCTCAATCTAGTGCATCCATCATGAAATCAGCCACTTGCACCTTCTTAACTCGCATTTTTAATGATTAATTTTTAAATAAGACATTGTTTCACCCTCTTTTTCAATTGATAATTTGTGCAAACCAAGAAAATTTTATTAGTTTGAGCCATATGAAATTGCTGGCATTCCACCATTTTTTAAAAGAAACAAAAACAATTTCATATGGTTCAATATATGAGAATTGGGTGATTTTTATTCCCCTTTCCTTTCTATCTACACTAAAACCCATTTTGAATTGATGGTCATTCCCCATAAGTTTGTAGGGGGAAAGCTAAATGTGTTTTCCTCATGCTTCCACTATGCTGGGAAGTTAGTGCAGAGAAACTAACCCAAGGCTGACTATTTGCATAAACCAGATAGAAACTGCGGAGTAATGGTACATCCAACTAGGCAAAATTCTTCTGAGAGGATAATCCCAGTCATTTTATAAGCATATTTGTTCTGGGGCTTGGGGGTGGGGTTTACAGTTCAGCAAAGTCAGTTGTTCTAGGCCAGAGGTTCTCCACCCTGGCTGCACATTAGGATGATCCGGCCCATGTATTCAAATCCTATATAATAGAAGGCTAATATGCAAATTGACCCAACAGTGGAATAACTGGTTGCTATGATGCGCCCTGACTACCAGGGGCAGATGCTCAATGCAGGAGCTCTTGGTGGTCATTGCACTCCCACAGGGGGAGCATCACTCAGCCAGAAGCTGGGCTCAGGGCTGGTGAGTGCAGCGGTGGAGGCGGGAGCTTTTCTCACCTCCAAAGCAGTACTAAGAACGCCTTGGGGGATGTCCGCCTGCCAGCTTAGGCCCACTCCCCTAAGTTCTATTACACTTAAACCAGCAGGGAGACATCCCCCAGGTTTTCCAGACTGCGAGAGGGTGCAGGCTGGGCTGAGGGACCCCCCGCCAGTGCACGAATGGCATGCACTGGACCTCTAGTGTCAACATAGAGGCCCACCTTCAGAGATCCAGATTCAGTAGGTTTAGAGTGGGGCCAGGCTTCTGTGCTATGTTTAGATCCTCAGGATTCTAATCTGCAGCTCAGGTGGAGAGCTGTTAGTCTAGAACTTGCAGTAGACCCAACCTTAAAGGATGACCTAGAAAATTCAGTTTTTTTAAAAAAATTGCTGGTCATGTGGAACAAACTGAATGTTGATCAATAATACAGACTGGGTAGCTGTGAGTGAGTTTATTAGCAGTTTACAATCTGCTAATAATGTTTGTAGAACTCAAAAACATATTCCATAAATACAACTAAAATAAAAAAGGTCATATTAGAAAACCTTAAAGCATGAAAGGGGGAGGATGGCTTGAATGTATATATTGGAGAGGTTAAAACCTGTCATCTTTGCTCTGATTTGTGGATAAAAGGGGGCTTTGTCTTAACTGAGCTGCTGGCTAATCAAATGTGAAGGTTTCCAAGAAGCTGTCTTTTCCATTTAACCTGGGATTAATTTAATAGTCCCCTTTGCAGTCAAGTGAACGTTCTTTCTCTTCACACTTCACTTGTCTCCATGCCTGAATCCACACTGGACTCCTTAAAATTAGGGGGAGGGCTGCTTACTGCCAGAGCAAGGCCCCTTATTAAGTGGAAGGTTGTGATCACTTTGCTGTCATGCGGTGGTGGTGTTGGGAGCTGGTAATTAAGAAGATGCAAGCCTTTGTGTATAGATAGCACTGACAGAGGGAAGTTATAAACTCCTGACATTCCTTTTAATATTCTTTTCCTAGAGGGGACATTTGCGATTTAAATAAGTCTGCATTTCTTCCTAGGAAGCAAGTATATTCCTATATACTTAAGGCAAATATAATTAAATGGACACTAACCATAAAGGATACTTATTGGGCTGACCTGACAAATAAGCATTGATGCCTTGCAACCAAAAACCACAGTGCACATCAACTATTTCATCCACCAAACAGCAAGAGCTCTTTGGGCTGTGACCCCTAGACCTGAAAATGCCCTCTGTGGTTTGTTTGAAAAAAGCAAATTTTAGAAAACACAAAAAATGTTATCATCACCATCCATGAACATTTCAGACGAGAGCCAAGAGGTGACATTCCTTCTAAAATAGAGGTCTGTTTCACGTCCTTCCTTCACCCCTCATCATAGCCCTCCCTTTTTATGTCCATAGTAGAAGTTAATGTAATCATGTTGGGTATCTGATGTGAACAGTGACTCTTAAATGTAGAAACACCACTGATATACTTAAGAGATCTGTGCCAGGTCAATTGAGCCACTCATCAGAGGGGCATCATCTGCTTGGAAACCTACCGTGGTACCCATTGTGACTTCCAAGGGATGTATCAGAAAACTGATTTTTACAATCTGTTGTCAAGTAACCCTTTGGAATGAGGGTTGCTGATTCAATGAACTACTTCTTATTCCACTTCAGGAATAGGGAACTTGACAAGTGTCAGGCCTGCCTTTGATGTTGATTCTGCAGATGTGTTAGTGCTGTCGGAGCTAATGTGTCAGAAATTTTAGACTGGTGTCATTGAGTTCTGATTTCTTCTGTTGTTTTCTAAGTAGGCCTCTGGCTTGCCAGTGTCATTTGCTATGTCCTCACACAGCGAGTTGAAGAACGCAGTGGGCAAGACTTAGAATTTAGAAACAACCCATCCGAATGCTGCCGTCACCACTTTGATACCTGAAAAGACCTCCCCCCTTCCTAAAACCTAATAAGAACAATATACAGAGAAACACCCTAGAAATCAACGTGAGTATCTGACTAGGAAAAGCAAGTAGGATTTTTTGACAATCCTTTCAAAGCAAGATTTAGAAGTGAACCATATTTTCCAGTTTCAATTTTCGTAAGTAGTTTTTAAAAATTGAACAAACACATCCTGTCTTCTTACCCAGTGCTAGTAGACATTGTAAAGAGCAAAACCAAAGTTTTTGATGTAAACTTTATTTTTGTAAGCAGGGTATACGATAACTGTGGTCCACTCGGAACACATAGGCACCGGTTTTCTGCTACTTGACCTTGGAGAAGATGAGAAGGAAGGTCTTCCTCTTCCGCTGCCGCCTTTTGAAAAGGTCTGAAATAGATATGAGAGCACGCGGGAGAGGCCATCCTTTTATTCTGATGGCCACCTCTTAAAAAGGGTTAACAGGATGTCAGAGTCACCTCAATTCTTGGCCAATGGGGAATGATTTGGGCCTGTGTATGTTGGAGGAGCTCAGAAGAAAAAGGACATGTACATAGCTTGAGTAACTCTACATTTCTGTCAAAAGCACTTGAGAACAGTTAAGATCCAGTGTTACTGGGTGACCATCTAACTGCATGGACATTTGGGGGTTGACTTTTGTTGTGATTATTCCAGCGGTGGGCTTTGGAGGAGCAGAAGAATTGTTTTCAGTTGTGTGGGTATTGAGTCAGTCTACGGATTTGGAATGTATCTCTGCACTTACCCATTCAAAGTATGGTTTCATAGTATGGTCACCTACTCCTAGATTGTCTTTTTCTTTTTTCCGTAAAATACATCTGGTCTTTTTACTTAGGCGTTTTTGTTAGTTGAACTTATTAAATGGAAAAGCCACCGATATTCATTTAAGAGCTGCAAAGCAATTTTTTAAATGGAATAGAATGAATGTAACCTGGATGCTGTGACCTAGAGAACTTTTTATAGAAAGCTTAAATACTGTAGCGGGGGAGAATTTTGTCTTCTATTTCCATTCAACTGTGGCAAACTGGTGGTTTTATAATATTAACATTCTAGTGTGTTATATAAACATGTTATACAAAATAACATTAAACTATGTTTAACTGTGAAAAAGTGAAGACTTGGAGTTATCAGCAACCTTTATGTGCAATAAAGAAAACTGAAGTTAGACCCCAAAGTGCTGTCTTTACGTAGCATCCTACTTAATGTTTGCCTTTGTGTATATGTTTAGATTGATATTGTAAAGCTAGTCGCGTTTTCCTGCTTTTGCTGATATTTAACACATTTTTCTCAAAGCTTTTTCTGTAATTTTTTTTTTTACAAAACTCAAAATAAAAAGATTAACTAGCTGAACTGATCTTGTTTTGTATTTTTAAAGTATTGTCTGTTAGTAGAAGGTGTAGTATGATCCCATTCTTTGTTTTTTTCCTTCACTGAGAGGTTCTTTTCTAAGTGGAAGCGATTCCTCTCCAGCTTCACTTAGACCAGGAGTTGACAAATTACAGCCGGCACCTGGATCCGGACTGGTCCATTGCCTGTTTTGTAAATAAAGTTTTATTGGCATACACTATGCTCATTCATTTGCATATTGTCTGTGACTGCTTTCATGCAGAACTGAGAAGTTATGGCAGAAGTGAGCAACTATCCTATGTAATAAAGATATTATATGCAAATGGTCGTTACACCATGAAGCGTAACAACCGGATCACAGATCAGCAGGAGGATGGGGCTGTGAGCTACTGGCTACAGGCGGGCGGGGCAGCAAGCTATGAGGGGGTCAGGAGGGAGCTACAGGAGGGTGGGGCAGCGAGCTACTGGGGAGCTACTGGCACACAGATTCATGTGCAGGGCTACTAGTTTGCTTACAAAGCAGGAACTATTTACTTTTGGCTCTTATAGAAAATGTTTTTGCCAATCCCTGACTTAGATGCTTGAAAGACTTTAGTTTTAAAATAGGGTCTAAAAATCATGGCAACATGTGCCTTAGGGTTAAAAGAACCACTTTAAACTCATCTCTTCCTGTGACTTTTCCTGGCCTGAAACTCTCTTTAGTAGGCTTTAAATGTTGGATAATTGCTAAGAATCTTGAACCCAACATGTAGTTTGTTTTATAGTCTTCATATTCCTTTCTATGTAGACTAGCTTTTCCTAGAACCATTCAATCGAACTACATCATAAAATCCGAAGCTTCCTAGCAAAACAAAACAAACAAATCCTGTCATTAGCATGACTCAGTCATTTAATAGTGTAATTACAAAAACACCAAATGGAACAATTTAAAAGCAAAAACTTGCTTCAGTTCATTTCTCTCCCACCATACAGAGAAAAATTACTTTTTAAAAATCAGTTCAGGGGTGGTGGCAAGGGGAGCTGTTTGAAGAAGGGTTGGATGAGTCAGATTTAAAACAATATCACCTAGACTTTTATTTAATAGTGTGTAACTTAATCAAGATACACAGGACTGTGCTTGGCCCTTATTCACATTAATGGTTTGTCCAGAAACCTGCTGATAGGAAATGGTACCAATCGCATCTCTTCTTTATTGTGAAGACGCCTTGTTGAAATGGCTCCAGCTGAGACAGATTCAGGCTGGGAACTAAAGCTCTTCCTATTTTATCGCCATAATTATCCACATTGTGCTTCCTTACTGGAAACTCTGTTTCAACCAATGTGTTCCTCATCCTATCTAATAAAGAGGAATATGCAAATTGACCATCACACCATCACAAAGATGGCGGCATCCACAGTGGAGGTGGATTTTCCGTATCACATGATGGTTGCACCCATAATGGAGGCTGAGTTTCTATAACGAGTCTTAATGAGCAATTAGCAGGGATCTGAGGCTGCATGGCGCTGGACCAAGGCAGGTGACCTCAGCCCACGCCCCCCTGCCTGGCAGGGCTTGATGGGGGATCTCAGGCCATGCCCCCCAGCCCTGGCACTGGGCCAGGGGACCTGAGGCCGAGCCCTTCACCCAGCGGGGCTTGACAGGAGACCTCAAGGTGTGCCTCCTGTCCCAGTGCTATGCCGGGGGACCTCAGGCTGCTCCTTCCACCCTGGGCTGAGGGACTTCAGGCCATGCCCCCCAACCCAGCACCGGGGGACCTGAGGCTGCACCCCCACCAGGTGGGGTTTAACAGGGGCCTGAGGCTGCTCCCCTCATCTGGCAGGGCTTGATGGGAAACCTGAGGCTGTGCTTCCCTCCTGGCGCCAGGCCAGGGGACCTCAGGCAGCAACTCCTTCCCCCTCCTCCTTTCTCCCCCCCTCGCCTG